TGGACACAGGTGTTGACGATGTTTATGCTCCTGCTCATCACAGGGTGCCTTAAATGCATACAGCTGGTGCAGGCACCACCATCGATAAGTGCTGAGTTTAATCTTTGGCACACCTCGAAGTACAAGTGGGACCATAGATCCACCCTGCACGATGAGCTTCTACAAGAGGGCCTACCTTCTAGAGGCGCCTGAGACAGGCACGGGAGAGAGCTTCACAGGAGCTAGCTGCTTCCTCACCTTCCTTCCTGAGCTCTAAAGGGAACCTTTAAAGGGAATATGGCGCTTATTTCAGACGGAGTTGATCCACCTCTCCTCAGATTGTCACCAGAATATAGGGCCTGGACAATGCTGCTAGCACCCCCCACACGCCCAGCTTCCCACAGGGTCCCGAGGCAAGGAGGGAGAAGAGGAAGGCTTCCTAAGAGAGGTTATTGGGGGTTTAGGTACAACGTGGTAAAGAAAAGCTGAGTTCTATTCAACAGGTACAGTGATCATACAGCTACAGTTATAAAATGCTCCGAGGTGGCTAGAGTGTTCTTTGATTCCCGAAATCAAAAAAGGGCAAAGATTTTCCACAGCCAATCACCCTTAATTTCGCTTCCTTTATAATAACAGCGTAGGAAACGGTGTGCAAGTTCCTTCCTTTGAGTCTGGCAAACCCATAATAAAATGACAATAAAACTTCCCACCGATGGAGGAGCCAGCACTTCGTTGAAGGCCTTGCGGGAGGGGAGGCAGGCGCCAGTGAACTCCGCCGTTTGGACAGGAAGTTAGGGAGGGCAGGCAGTGGTCACTCAGGCCAAGAGAGAAGCCCAAATTTGGGAAGAACAACCTTGGCCGGTCTACACCAGCAAGATGCAACGTGGGGCGTGCCACCCTGACAGGGCGAGACGGCCGCAGGTCCAGGCGCTCACAGGATGGCCGAGGGCAGCGGCAGATGCTGGGGATTTGGAGAACCTGGGAAGGGAAGAGAAGGGAATCCTCCACCCCAGTCCCGCCCCGGGAGGCTCCCTGCAGGGATCCCCAGGGTGGGATCGCGCGGGGCCAGAGGCTGGGGAAGCGCAGGCTGGCCCGCATCGCCCGCCCAGGGCAGGCTGCAGAGCAGGCGCGGGGCACAGGGTGGCGCTCGCTGTCCGCGGCGCCTTTGTGTGCGCGGGAAGCTGGCCCCGGCAGCACAAGGTGGACCGCGAAGACCCCAGACCGCTACCCCGCACTTCTCGGCAAACCAGGGCGGGCGGGTGCGCGGACAGTGCGCATCGCCTACTCGGAGCCCTTCCCGGGGGCCTCGGGGGTCCTTCTGGGAGCAGCCTGCTTGGCGCGTCGAGGAGCGGGGCGGGAAAAGGAGAAAAGAAGAGGCAGCGTTTTGAAAGGCTGGGAGTTCTCCTGGGCTCAAGAGCTCCCCCTGAATTCACTGACAAGGAAAATGAGGAAACTTTGGGCAGTCCAGACAGACCTCAGCTAAGAGCCCCGCAAGAGAAGGAGAGGGCGCCGCCGCTGTCCCCTCCGCGCAGCAAGAAGTGCTGGCCTGAGAAGCAAAGTTAGGGAGTGGGGGGCTTAAAAGAAGCCCCAGGAAATGGACTCAAAAGAACGGCCTTCGAACCGCAGTGGAAAGCGGCAGCTGGGAGCCGGCGCTTGAGTCCTGCTTTCTCAGTCACCCCCACGCTCCCCAGAGCTCTTAAAGCCCGACCGTCGTTAGGAGCCGAAGCAAAATGTAGATGGCTGCTTCCGCGCCGCCAGGAGACTCCGCAGAAAATTAAATTAAATTAAACACGCGCCCAGGGACCAGAGAAAATAGATCCCCCTCCCCCCGACTAGAGCAAATCAACACTTGTGTGCACAGGGAGTGCAGCGAACCTACAGCGATGCCCACTGGCGCGCATCACCTTAAGCGGCGGCCGGAGCCCAGAAGAGCGAGGAATTACCGGCTCCCCTTTAATCCGGAAACAGGGAATAAATAGGACACAAGCACATTCTGAATCTTATTTTTTTTTTCAACAACAGCATCAATTGTGTATGGAGCAAAGTCTTCAAAAGATGCCACCCAGAACAACAGTCCTAACTTAAAAACGAGCAAAGCTTTAGTCTACCCTTCACGCCTTTTGCTTCTTAACATGATTTTCTTTCAATGCAGTGATAGAATTAACTACTGGACTATTTTTTTTTAGAAGGGCAGACAACTGTAGAAATCATGTTTTTAAAAAGAGACTTGATCATACCTAAATTTTTCTTAAGAGTATAGGGAGAAATAATAATGCCCGTTTGGATAGAAGCAACAAAAACTCAGCAGGAAAATAAAACCTTTCTTTCCCCAAATTACCTGCACCAAATCAACCCCCCTTTGAGGCTATTTGTATGAAAAATTGAGCAAAAATGCAGAACTTCTTTCATTATAATATTTACCTCTACCATTTTAGGTGAGAGGAGAAAAATCAAATCCATACTTTTTTCTTCTAACGTCCCTACCTTAATTTACCAACCTAAAGGATCATCTGACCCTTTTAGCTAGTCCTCTAAAATAAAATATTTACTTTAAAGAAATTCCTCCACAGGCCTGCTGTAACATTGCATTCGAGAATCTCACCAAAAGATCTGAGGGGGGCTGAAAATTTTGATGGCAGGATTATCGATCTGCCCACTCAGGAGTCCAGTCTCATCACCTGCTTGTCTTTAATTCTTAATTTCAGCATTCTCTCCCCCAGGGAAACTCAGTTGAGAAGTTATACCAAGATTGGAGTAAGAGGACAGTGGAAGAAAAGCAAATCCATCCAGGAACTTTTTCAAAGAGCAGCTGATAATAAGAGAGTAAGTAACTCATCACATTTGCTTAAATTAAATTTCTATCATAAAATATTTTTCTTGATAGTCCAGCCTCAACAAATCACAGTCATGTATGTCCCTAAGGGAAAGAGAACATCCTCAAAGAAGTTGAGCCAGAAAAGGAGAAAGCAGAATGAGGAAGAAACACTGAAGTTTGGGGAAGAAATGAGACAGGTCAACAGAAAGGCTGGATTGAGACTGGACTGATATACGCTGGGCTGACCTCTGGGTCAACAAGTAGTTTAACTCTACCTTGATCTGCAAGACTGGAAGCTTGTCCCTTGGTTCAAAGTGAAACCCAGCATTTGGTTTCATTTGAGTGAGCCTCCAAGGCACTGTTAGAGGTGCTTTATCCCAGACAAGGCAGGGAGAAATCACAATTTTGCATTCACCCCCACCATCCATCCCCAAAAGGGAACCCAGCCCACCCTGCAGAACAGCAATCCAGAAATACTGTTCAATAGTCATCACAACAAAATACACCAACACTAGAAGGGAAAGGAGGAGCGGAAGAAAGTGAAAGTTTTCCATTTACACTACAGAAAAATCCGTCCCCCGTCAACCACCCCCAAGAAATCATCTTCTAGACAATATCTTTGCCATCATCCACCTCTTAAATCAAATGTGATCTGTATGTAATGCAACTGATATTATAAATGCACCAAGGAGCTTTCCTTACCTGCCACTACATTTAACTCCTTCAGAACCGTTTCCTCCTCAGCACTGCAACTTTCAATAAAAAAGAAACAACACTTAAATTGTGTTCTGCATGTTATTCCTAGGAAGAAAGTGACAGAAAGAGACTATTTTACTTAAAACCAAAGAATCAGAGCAACTTGCTTTCCTAAACCAATAGGGATTGAAGATCACAAATATTTGCAAAACAGCAGGATCAAGACAGTCTGCTACTGAAGCCCAAACTGCACTGTCCTAAAATATTTTACCCCTCATTGATTTTTCCTTCTAAATGTACAATATTCATAGCACTCTGTATTTCCACTTGTTTATATGGGTAATAAGGACTTAATATACCTTTCAATGGAAGGTTTTCAGTTTGAGATATACACCAAGACTGAACTTGGGGTGAGGAGAATGCAAACGGAAAGAAAGAAGCTAAACTGAAAAGAATCTGAACACACTAACTTTTTATTCAATTTGATTCAAAATAATATTACTCTAATAGTGAAATAGTTTGATATAATAACAATCAACATTTAAAGTAATTTTTTTATGTTTCAAAGTATGGCTCAAGGAACTCATTGCTTAAATGCACTTAGACATAACAAGACAATTTTTTATTGGCATCATTGACACCTGTGAACAATAGCCTAGTAAATAGATTAAGGTTTAACCTTCCTTTTCTTTGGTGGCTGTTTAGAGACTTTAAAAGAACAGATAACTCATTTCAGCAGGAATCTACTACTGATATTTACCTCTACATAATCTTCAGCTAAGACATGGAATGCCAAAAACAAGCTTTTGTTAGCTTGACCTCCTCCACCCCCTAACAACAAAAGTTATCCCCGAACCCATGTTTTTATTTTAGATGTATTGATCTTCCAGTGTAAGTCTTGCCCTTTTAAGTACCAAATGCGATCAACCTGAGTCCTTCTGGAGAGTGAGAAGGAAGCAAAAACGGGAAATTTCTTTGAATTGTTTGGTGAATTAGTCCAAATTTTAAGAGGTCAGTAAACCCTGATGCTTTGAGCTAAATCTACTGGTAAATAATTAATTACATTTCTTAGACACTATAATCTTCATCTTGGTAAATAGAGAAAACAGTTTTGCCAAATAAATCATTCTAAGTAATATTAAAGGCGATTATTTAAATATTACCACAAAACAGGATTATATTTTGTTTAAATAGACATTTAACTGAAAACAAAATGCAAATGTCCATAGTTTAAACAGGAAAAAATACAAATTAACTGGCCTAGTCTTTTATCTGAGTTTATTAATACCATTTAAAATATTACAAATAAATCAATTACATCTCATGCATTTAAAATGCAAGTCTAAAATGTTCTAGAGAAAGGCTTTTCATTTCAATGTGAAATATCCAAATTATTTCAACATTACAATGAGCAATTAGTTTGCAGAATTTGCAAACATTTAAATGTAGTGTCAGGAGTGTTTGTTAACAGTTAACAATATTACCTTCAGGAAATACACAAAGGCCAAACTTAGTTGAGTTTCACTTGGACAATTTATTTAATACATGGGTTTTGGCAAACCCAGTTATGAAATATAGGAGAACTCTCACTTTAACTATACCTGAACTGCCAGCAAATGCAAATAAGTACATGCTCCATTAAATTAAATGTCACCCCACATTTATCAAATATTGTCTTAATTACAGTTTGATAGCTATCTAAATTAATATTCGAGCAACACTAGGCCCTGAAAGTGCGTTTGTGCTCTGCACCTCCAGAAGTCAGTTCAAAAAACCTGCAGTCTTCAGAACTGCAACAATAACTCTTAATATTTTCTTGTAACCAAAAAAATCAAGTTTACTTCGATATATTTTCAAATATTTACTGGAAGTAATGTACAAGAAAAATACTATACAAAATCGTCTCCTGGACAGCTGCACCTCGCACCCATACGCTGGTGGGGTTATAGTTAATTTGTAACTAATCTAGAACGATTCTCCTGTGGTACAAACCATTAGGTTCAGATATATTTTACAAAGGTGTTTCCCCTCCCCCTACTTTCCCTCTTTTGGCATTTAAATTTAAACTACAGCCTCGTCTGATATAAACGATAGCTTCTTCACTTGTTTATAAGTTTAAATCACACAAAAAAGTTTCCAATGGATTGCAAGAATTTACAGATATGGGTACTATACAAATTGATGTCTGGACTAGCAAAAAAAAGGGGGGGGGTTAGGCTGGGGGTGGTGAAAAACGAGGTAGAAAAGGACAAACATGGAGATAGAGAATCTGTTCTCACCGGAAAGGGGTATTTTTGCATAAGAAAGACACCTACCCTCACCCCACCCCCACCCCATAAGTTAAATTAATTCGATCAAAATAACTTTGGGATCAGTATTAGCACAGTTTTGAGAGAAAGACTTGCTCACTGCTAGAGGAAAAGCTATCTAGGCGGGAAACCAAGTGAAGGGATGCCTTTTTTTTCCTTTAGGTTTTTAGTTTAAAAAATGTTATAGAGATGAAAGAAGGCTGCTGTAGGATTCACCAAGACTGCCCTTAGTTGAAACTTGCATCGGTTCCAACTCAGGGAACAAAGAAAAAGGGGCAGAGCTGAAGGTGGGACACTGAACTCAGCAAACTCCGCATCTCGGCGCGGACAGGAGGGCGCCCGCACAGAGCTCGCACCGCGCGGCGCAGGGCGGGCGTTCGGGCGCCTTGTCCGCCGCCACCCCGGCGGGGATGCCCCGCGCGGGCCTCCTGCCTCGCCCTCCCCAGCCCGAGCTCAACCTGGTTCCACCGAATTGCTCCTGCCCCGGCGCAGGCCTGTCTCCCAGGCCCTTGGAATCGTTCAGCTCTCCATCCAGGGCCGCTTCCCTCCAGAAGACCCTTCACACAATGGGATGGAGGGAGGGGGACAAAGGGAGGAGGAGGATTAAGGCCCGGCGAGGCGCGCGTTCGGGCTGTGCGGGCCTCCGACGGTGCCACCGGGTGGAGAGGGAAAGCCAGGGCCCCGGCCGGCAATGCGTGTTACTTACATGTCCACATCCCCTTTACAGAGTTAGGTCCCAGAGGGAGTTAGACTAGAGGGACAGAGAGGCTGGAGCGGAGGCCGGGACAGACGGGGACCAGGCGGAGCGGGGTGGGAGGAGGTCGAGGGGAGGGACAGGCGCGGGGTGCGCGTCACTCCAGGCCGTTGCGGTGCCCGGGCTCGGGGGGGCTGCAGCAGCTCCGGGGAGTGCCAGGGCGGGCTGCCCGCGGCGCTGTGCTCGCTGTCGGTGTCGCTGCCCTTCTTGCCGCCGCTGCCGGAGCCCGCGGAGCCGCCGCCGCCGCTGTGCGTCTTCACGTGCTTGCTGAGGTGGTCGCTGCGCATGAAGCGCTTGTTGCAGACGGGGCAGGCGAAGCGCTTCTCGCCCGTGTGGGTCCGCAGGTGCCGCTGCAGCTCGTCGGAGCGCGTGAAGCGCTTGCCGCAGAAGAGCCAGTTGCACACGAAGGGCCGCTCGCCCGTGTGCCAGCGCAGGTGCGCCTTGAGGTGCGACGTCTTGCCGTACACCTTGCCGCAGCCCGGGATGTGGCAGCTGTGCAGGCCCTTGCGCCGCAGGCTCGCCCCCGCCGGGCCCAGCCGCTCCGCCTCCTGGCAGTTGGGGCAGTCGCAGGTGGCGCGGCCCGAGTAGCGGCGGGCGGAGGAGCGGGGGGAGCCCCCCAGCGGCGCCGACGGCCCGGCGCTCAGCATGGAGCCCCCCGCACCGGCCAGCGGCGACGGGGCCGAGTCCGGGTAGGAGCCGGGCAGCACCGGCTTGAACCCGTAACATGAGGTGCTGCCCGGCGGGGCTGAGCAGGTGCGAG